TCTGGGAGCCTCCAGAGGCTCACACGTAGAAAGGAACAGCCAGACTTCAAAAAAAAGGTCAGGCAAAATATTTCAGTGTAGAAACTGTTACAGTTAAATATAAGTTTTGAAACGGCCTTGTAACAGATTTAAAAATTCCTGATACAGTGCTACTGCATTTAGGAAATAAGAAACTACCTGTGATCACTCAGGTAGTTCAAGCAGTTTCAGTTTAATTTCTCTAAAGATCAGAATACATAAACATCCGGTATTTATTGTTAAATAACCAGCATGGATATGAGGCAAAAGAAAACATCTAGTAAGAGTTACAATAAAATAGTCCCTGTTAAAACTATGAGTTTGTTCAAGAGCAAGGGTTTTACTTAAGTTTTCTTTTTCCTATACCCCCACTGCACGTTTCTCCCACTCACCTTATAGCAGTTCTGGTGCTTACCACATCCTTTCGTAAATCATCCAGCAAAAACATGGACAGCTTTCCCAAGAGTGGGTGAGTTGAGGCAACACAAGGGCCAGTGGAGGCACCTTGGAAGGTGTGAAACCACACAACCAGAGGAGGATTGGGAATGGGAAGAAGATTAGGCCTTGCAGCTCATCGCTGCACTGAGCTTTCTACCAGCTCAGTCATCTCGAGTCACGTCAGATGTACCACAATTTCACAGATCAACTCCAGCGCAATAGAATGAACGCTGAAGATTTTGCTTCATTTGTTTGCACATATGCTTAAGTTATCAAATAAATGACCAGACTAATAGAAGTGAAGAAATGCAAAGAAAGAGAGTATTTGCTGTGAGGCTCCAAGATCCAGCGTGTTCTTTGAGAGGCAGCACTTTCTTCCCTATTTACACATTCCTTAATGCCTGGCTTTATGTTTAAAGAGGCCATGTGCCAAATTAAATGCAAAATCTAATCTGTTAGGCAACTGCAATTTTCTGCTTTGGTCAGAATCACAATTACAACAACAACAAACAACACAGCCAGTGATTAATAACAGGCCTAACCAAGACTGATGTTATTACTGCCTATCTGATCTATTCACCCATTCCTGCTCAGGAGGCCTGGCAGCACAGACAGAGCTTCCTCAAAGGTGCTGCATCCACGATCTGTAAGGGGATGTCTGCCACCCATCAGCATCCAACTGAGACAGGCACTGCACAAATTTCATTTTGTGCACTTTTCACAATTTGTTAATGTATCAGACCCAGCTCA